TGATGGTTTAGAAGATAAATTGTCAGGAGGGTGGGTGGGTACAAAACACGGACAAGAGGGAAGATAGTGTGTGAGGTATCACTGTTGTCCAAAATGTATAGTGTGGAATAGGTAAAATTTGTTCAATTTATACAAGTGAACTACGTGTTTTAAAAAAAGTAAATAGAAGTTATAATTAAGATGTTATTGGATGCAGAGTTCCTTAACGTTAATCTTATAAATACATCTATGAAACTTAAAACTTAGGAAAATTGTTGCTTAAAGAATGTTAAAATAGTTTAGTAAGTTTATTATAAGAACTTTCATGCAATTATGGTCTTTTTACCCAGGTGTTCGCACCGGACTACCGACAAGCATGTATGACTCTTGATATGTGAGAGGAGACGATAAACTCACATGTTAGATGGAAAGGATGCTCATCAATCTTCTCTAACTGCTATAATGCATCAATGACTTTCATCCCACTTTTCTCTCTCCAAATCTTAATAAAACATACCACTGTAAAGTATCCTCATCATGCCAATCATCACTGTCTTAACCAATCAAGTGGTTTAATTTCTCTATTCCAAAGAAATCTTATAAGATTCAATAATAATTAACTCTTAAATATCATTAAAATACCATCTTTGGTCATTCACGTCCATTCCATAGAATATTCAGACTAAATCAGAATTTGTCTTTAAATGTACTTTATTGGCCCTATTACAGGGAATTTAACTTTTATTGCATTTCAGAACACGTTTCGTTCCTGAAGAGAGAAGAGTAAGTAATAAGGACATATGTCTACTGCTAACTCCCAAACTGGCACACAGTGCTCCCAATTTGATGCCAAATTTAAGGCCTTGGATAATTTTCTGAGACTTAGTACAAAATTCTATTCCCAGCTTACAGAGGCCCATTGGTGTGACACTCTCTTTGAGAGTAACATCAATTATGCCTCAATATACTAAAACCATAGCATCTTATATTTACAAAAACTCATAACTTGCATTTGAGGAAAAATGTATGATTTCAATAACTGTATAGCATTGTTTTTCTCTGTCAAAAAAACAATGTTCTAAAACATTTTATATATTTTTTACTTCATTGGGCAGCTGAAAAAAAAATGCTGGTTACTGAGAAGTAAATCCAATACTCTTTAGTATGTGGCCATAATCATAGGTAGGGGAAGGCTCAAATAATTAACTCTTTAGAGGTCAGAATAACATCAACATGGTTTCATTCTTTTGGTTTCATTCTTAGCTCTAGGTTAAATGAACCTGTTACAAAATACACAATTTGTTATGTTTCTGTGTGTTTTAATTTTAGGCAAATATTGTAAAGCAGAATAAGTATACCTCGACTCTGTCTGGCTTGTTTGTTTGTGTTTTGTACTGCACTATCATGACATACGTCAAAGTGAAAGATCAATAATAAATAAACACCTGGTAACAAAGTTTCTAGCTAAAATAACATGAGGCATTCTAGGAAAAATAAATCTGCACGTCTACAGATAAAAACAACCTCAAGCCATGAACAGCTGGTGTTTATACTAAACAAGTCACAGGACAAAGCACTACTATTTTTTACTTTTGATACATTTAAATATATTGAGTGATTTGGAGATTACAAATGAAATCAACTTTGTAATTCAATAAAAGAATTTCACTAGCAAGTCTTTATTTGAAAAATCAATTCAACGTGCCTGAGACATGCAAGATTGTAGGCCTTACATTAGGTAAATGATGATTAGTACCAGGAAAGAAGGATGAAAACATTTCAGTGAAACATACTGAATGGTTATGACCAGTAAGAGGTGAATATCAGGGCAGAATTAAATGTCATCACCCAAAAAGTTGAGACTAAGAATATGCATACTCTTGCATTTACACACGCATGCCTGCTATGTACACAACACAAGCACTTCCATACTTAACTCTCTTCTTCCTGACACACCAAAGGACCCAGTACAATATCAGGAGTTGATGACATCACCCTTCTGTACCTTCCCTTCTTAATTCTCCAGCCTAGTAATTCTTTTAAGTTCCACCTGCCCACCTTTCTTTACCTATTCCTCTCCATAGCAGCTGGATTTAAGGTGAAAGCTATTTATAAATTGCTGAGAACCAGAGCTTTTATTATGGGAAAATCTTGACTGAAATGAACCAAAGAACACATCATGAGAAGTTGCAAAGATAGCCAAAAGTAAAATGTGCTCAATAAAAAAATCAGAATGCAAAAGCCTTTCAAGCATATTTATAATCCTTCTTTAGTGAAGATTATATAAAAGCCTTGCCTGTGCTAAAGTGAATTGTGGTCTCTGAAAGAAATGCATGCTAGCAAATGTCAACAAATTTATTTGCCATAGGCATTTTCTTTATTTCTCTGAAGCCACCATCAAGATATATGAAAGTATTAATTCCATGGAACCCACAAAACCCAACATTTCATATTACTAAATAAAAAGGAAAATGCTAATAAGAGATGTCTGATAACAACTTCCTAGGTAAATGAGCATTTTGAAATCAAGAGCAGTTATAGGTAACTTAAGAGCAAATCAGCTCATTGATCATCCCAGGGCATCTGTGTGTATATGATCTGAAGAGCACACAGAGCTACAAACAGGAAAACGAGGCTTACAAGGTAAGTATCACTAAGACAGGGTGTTGGACACACACATTCTGACTACAAGAAGCAGAAGGGAGTGCATACGCACACTGCTTGTGGTGAGGGGGCTCTCAAATGTTATGCCTGAGGAACTTCCCTTGAAGCCCAGGCTTTCAGAAAGCAAGAATCTCATATTCATGTGGAAAAATTATGAAATGTGGCAATTTAAAGAGTTTGAAACAATAAGTTTAATTAAGTTATTTAAAATGAAAATGTCAAAGATAATAAATTCTCTTTATAGCAGGCCCCAAAATTATACAGACATGTAAAATAAAGAAGGGAAACTCTCTCACCTAACTAATCCGATGCCACTTTTGAGCCAGCCCCCGCCACGGCAGAGCATGGGCCTCGTGTTCGTGGCAATAAACCTTCCAAGGTGGTTTCATCTTATGTCTTTCAGAGTAAATCCAAGTGACTGCTTTTCTCGGTACCAAAACTCTAAACTGTATGAGTAGACAGATGTCTACGGTTATCTCCTTTGAAAGCCAAATTTTCTTTCTAAGAACCACAAATGAAATTTGTTGAAATTAGAGCATTAAAGTGCCACAATAAACTTAAATTGTTTGGTTCTATCTGATAAGCAGTTATGATCATGATTTGATCTTTATCTGCAGGATTCCTGTGCTTCCTCCATTGTCTAAAATGCATTAACAGGCATAAATTGCGATTATCATCTTTAGCCCACACTGAAAATGAATAACGTAACCTCCAACAGGGAAATCTTCATTAGTAACTCATCCTTTATTTATGGAAAAGACCTATTATTGAAAAAAAAAATCAAAACTGTATTTGGACCTCAACACTTTTTTTGCACTAAAATAAATTTTCCTTCAATTAAATTTTTTTCTGAAAAATTTGAAATTATTTTGTTTTTTAAAAGATTGTATTTATTTATTTATTTATTTAAGAGAGACTGACAGAGAGGGGGAAATAGAAAGGAGGGAGAGGAAGAAGAAAAGGGAGATTGAGAGAACTCAGGTTCACATCTCGAAGGCTCCCCAGTAGCCCAATCTAGACCAAGCTAAAACCAGGCACTAGAAACTCCATCCAGCTCTTGTACATGGATGGCAGTTTCCAGCTACTCTGACCATATTATGTTACTTTTCCAAGTTGCATTATTGGGAAACTGAATTGTAAGTGGAGCTGCTTGCATTTGAACCAACATTGATATGGGATATCAGTCTCACAAGCACAGCTTAACTTCCTATACAACAATATAGCCCCTACAATACCTTTTGTGTGATGTTTCTTGGCTGATGACTTACATAGCGCTGCTCAATAAACTTGAATTCATAACTTATTCATTACCATGGGGTTTTGTTTTTAAGGATTTTTTTTTGTTTGAAAGTCAGAGCTATAGAGAAAAGGGATTATCGTGAGATTTTAAATGTTGTCTTTGAATTGCATTCTCAAGAGCTGTCAAAGAAAAAAAAAGTTTCTCTTCTGGTCACTTGCAGCAGGTTGGAAGATAACCTTTGGTTTTGATTAGATTATTTTGATTCAAAATTTTGAACAAATACCAGTGACTCTGCCTCACACTACAGTTAACAATATCAAAGTATGTAAGAAGTTACAGAGAATTTGAAAACAGGAAATAACAACAAGAAATGTTGGTCATTTCTCTCTTTGCTGAGAGGATATACAGAGGGACAATTATGATCTTTATGTGGGAAAAGCAGTGTTACTCTGGTCCTGAAGGTATTGCAGTTACAGGAAATCAACCCCCAGAGACCAGCTGCTTTGGATGCAACCTGATAAATTGGGAGTCCAAGAAGACACGATGTCAAACTACTCAAGTATTGCCTCGATTCTCTCAGTATGCACCAACAGAAAATGGATGCCTGGGCGGCTGACCCTATCACTCTTGTAAAGAGGATGAATCAAGGACCACAGTTCTCTGCTTAGAAAATCAACTGGGGGCCAGTGCATAGATGAGTAAGCCACCACCTGTGATACTGCCATCTCAAATGAGCACCAGCTCCATTCCGAGCTACTCAGCTTCCCATTCAGATCCCTGCAGATGCTCCTGAGAAACAGCAAATGCCTGGCACATGGCTGGACATGTGGGAAACCTGGCTGGAGGTCCCCTCTGCTGGTTTTGGCCTGGTATACACACACACACACACACACACACATATAAGCTGTTTTGCTATGCAAATCATAAATAATGCCCTGACGAAACAAATGGAAATAAAAATGAGTGAAGCCTATTATTTCTGCATTCTTTTAAGCATTACACATGACAAGGAAGGAGTACAGGCACATAAAAAATTTAAAAGAATATGTTTAGTTCTCTGTAAACACAAGGTGCCAAATATTCAGGATCCAAGGAAGTGATTACTAGCCTAAAGAGATTAGAAATCTGAGTGCTTTTTCAGGCTGGTATGAGGTTCATACCAGTTCTGCAGGAATGCAAGAAATATTGCAAAATGATCAGGTTCTGCAGACACAGTGACAAAGCTAAACTTAACATATACAAAAACACATATTTCAAAAAGCAAGCAATTAGGCAATCAGTGTTTTTTTTTTTATGTTGAATTTTTTTTTTCACTGCTAACTTACCTGTATCGAATCCTGCACTTGGCACTATGTCCACGGTTCCATGAAAGGCTCCGGCCCACGCTGAGGTAGCAGTGGTGACTGTGGTCGGATCTGTCTTTGTGATGTCACACTGGGGAGCAGGAATCCTGGCTGTACGCACTGAAGGCATCAGCAGGGGCCCATACGATGGATCCAGGGCAGAGCCGGCAGCAGGGTGGTGGTGGTGATGATGGTGGTGGCGATGGTGCATGTGGGCATGGGGGTGGTGGTGTCGCATGTACACATCATGCATGTGGCTGTAGGGTGGGCTCACCTGAGATGCCAAAGGATAGTGCCAGGACTCAGACACAGGAGGGGGAGGGGCTGGGCCAGTCTGATGCAGGCTGTGTCCTGGCCAGGGACTGGGGTCAGCTGCAGTAAAGGTGCCAGGGGGTGCCGTGACCTGGAAGTCAGGATGAACTGCCCCGAGACAGGGTGCAGGGGTGGGCTGGTAAGAGCTGGTCCAAAAGGAACTTGGGAAACTATTCCGCTGGCTAGAGAGAGCTGAGCTGTCTGAGAAGACAGAAAAACAAAAAACATTATTGACATGAGGTTCAGTTCTGGAATAGACTTGCCTTTACTTGTCCAACAATATTTTACAAGCGAACGAATTATGATGCATATTTTTCTCCCCAAACAGTGATGACCTGATGGCAAGTTAGCCTCCAAGCTACTATGCCAATCTGCTGTGTAGAATTCACAATGCAGAATCAGAACCCCTCCTCTCAGTTTCCTTAGTTTACACTGTACCAGACAGTGCCGATGCTTTACAATATTAGCATTGAAAAGTTTCATTTCCAGGTGAATTGTTGCCACTAAGTGAGCAGAGGTCATACCTATGTACCGTCTCGCTGAGAAAGCTTAAAGAGCAAGTTTACGTAGATTTGAAATGATTTTTCCACCTTACATCTTTTAAATGAAATATAATTTTTATTTAGACAAGCCATGCTAATGACAAAAGTAACAATTAGAAGTACATGATCTCATTTAATTATGCTCAGGAACTCTTTCTTTCCCATTAAAAACAGTTCTTTTATAAACATATAAGCATATGTGGCTGAGAGTAACAGCAATCTACATTAATGACAGTAACCAAATAGCCGATACTAGGTGAAAGGTTTTTCATGGATAATTTCTTAGGATCTTCACCTTAGCCAGAAAAAGTAGTTATTGATACTATTCCCATTTTGGACCAAAAAAAAGAAAAGAGAGAGAGAGAGAGAGAAAGAGGCAGAGGAAAAGTCAACAATTTAAACTTACAAATGTGACAGCAGGCTTCAAACCCAGGTAGCCTGCCTGAACACGCATGACTGGTACTCTTCATAAGACGCCACAAGAGGGCACAATTGTAAGGATAAACTGACCATCTAGAATTTTGTTAAGTCTGCAAGTTGTGAGTGTGGTAGTTCCAAGTAGAAGGAACAAGTTTGAGAAAGTGGTTGGGGAAGGGGGAAAAGTAAAGAATAGAACTTTGAGATAAATAAGAACAGAAGAGGGAGAACTCTCCCATTGTTCTAAGTCAATTTGTTTCTCTAATCAGTCATCAAAACACTTTCAGATAAATGACTGTATACCAAATAGAGGCATCTGCAGTACCCAGACAAAAGTCACAGTCTGGAGGGGGACAGATAAGTAAATAGATATCTACGATGCCATGCTGGAGGTGTTCTCACAAGAGGAACCATGCAGATAGTACCAAGACACATAAGACAATCACCGCTAAGACAAAGCATGTTGAACTAGCCTGTGAAGGAGGGAAGGTAATTGCCTGGAGGGGGAACAGCATATGCAAAGGACATGGGTACATAAACACAGGTACACAACTGAGAAACAAAAAGGAGTTTCATGGGAAGGAGGAGGAAAAGAAATAAATTAGGCTGCTGGAATAATGACTCAGGTGGATATGCATTTGCTGGTCATGCGTATGCTGGTCATGAAAATGAATGTGAAATCTATCCTGAAGGGGTCTTACTAGGCTTTGAGAAGTTTTATTCTGTCCTTGGAAAGGTCAGATCTACATTTACAAGGAACAGCATCTTGTCCTAAAGATGGTTGCCTTTGATGTCACCTGTCAGAAGCATTTAAGCAGTTCAGCATCAATATTGCTTCTTACCCTATCTCACATTAGGACCTCAATTAGACACTGGTGTTTCTGTGGCTTTTTTTAACTTTTTAAAAAAAAGAATGTATTTAAATTAACTTACACCAAATTATTTTCTGGCTTTATGTACTATCGCTCTGTTAAGTGTCCTATGGATTATTTCAATCTATGCATAAGGACAGATGGCTTAAGATATTGCTCATGCATTGATAATGTTATTACTAGGCAGTGTCTTCAAACTAGACTCCACCTAAAAGAATCTTATAAGGTCTCTCTGCTACATAAAAGATATCTTTTGAACAATCACGAATTAGAAGTATTCAAAAGTCTCACATATATTTGTTCTTACTCCATAAATTTCCAAGACATACTTTCTTGCCTCATGGAAAGAAATCACTTGAATCAAGTAGCACTTATACCATTAGGTTACACAATTTTAGATTTTAGATTTGTGTTGTTCAAACTCTGTGTAACTTCCCTAAAGACATTGGCAGTTCAATATCATTCACCCCATTCATCCTATAGGCAAATAGCTATTCACAGTTTCAAAGTCTCTTGTGCTGTCTCCATTGATGTCCAAACCCTTTGGGGAAGCCAAGTATATGACCTTCAAGAGGAAAAAGATGCAAGGGCACACACTCCAAGTCTCCAGTTACTCCCAACACACTTGCAAGCCAATGACTGTTTCATCACAATTCCAATTTATCAAAAGACTAGCACTTAAAAAATCAAACTCACTGGCTCCAAGGTAAATACATTTTATTTAACAACTGTCTCCCTTTGACACATTAAAAATGCTGCCAATGAGAAGGAAATTGTATAAGTTGTGAGAAAAAAATCAAATGGCCTTAGATAATGGCCATTTGGGGATTATTACAGCTATGAATTTTTAAGGCTTAAAACTCATTCTAGGGACCATCGCAGTGAAGTCCTCACCTTGAATGTGCCAGGATCCCATATGGGTGCTAGTTCTAATCCTGGCAGCCATGTTTCCCATCCAGCTCCCTGCTTGTGGCCTGGGAAAGCTGTTGAGGATGGCCCAATGCCTTGGGACCATGCACCCGTGTGGGAGACCTGGAAGAATTTCCTGGCTCCTGGCTTTGAATTGGTGCAGCACCGGCCATTCCGGTCACTTGGGGAGTGAATCATTGGACAGAGGATCTTACTCTCCATCTCTTCTCCTCTCTGTATATCTGACTTTCCAATAAAAATTAGTAACACACACACACACAAAAAACTCATTCTAGGAGTCTATAGAGGCTGCTTAAGTTATGTGAGTGGCTTTGCCACCACCAAGCTACCACTTTCCTCTCATGGTTTCTATCACTGGAACCAAAGTCTTCTTTTTGCTCACAGCTCCCCTTGCCTCTCTTTTTCTCTGAGGTTGGAATGCATTATGGAAACTCTTGAACTCCAACCCACAAGTATGTGCCAGAGATATAACATTCCCCCTTTTGAAATCCTCCATTAAAATGTCTCTAATATAGAGGACATATATAAGTTCTATTTATTCTTTCCTTTTTTTCTCATTTATATGTACATGGAACCAATCTTATTTTATAGATTTTAAGTATTTTGAATATGCACACACAAATGTGAATAATCAATGCATTCCTTATCAAACATGGTATTGTCATATTTACCAATTTGTGAACACATTATCTTTCAAAGTAGAAACTTATTTAAAAAAAAACTCTGTAAAAACTGAACAAAGCTTTAAAATGCTTCAGGAAAAAATAAAATTAGAAACAACTTAGTATTTTCCCAGTCAGTATGTCTTTAAAGACCAATATAAAGTTTGTAGGGCTCTTTGCAGCCCTTTTCAAAAAAAAAATGTAGTTGTCTTTTACAAGTAAATGAAAAAATATTGAATAGAAAATACATTTATGAAGAAATCTATATTTCAGAATCACTGTTGGTATCTCGCTTGCTTAAAGAAAAAAAGCTCAATACATAGAAACAGATGATATGCTTTGCTTCATGGCTGGGAATCAATGTGCTTATTTCATATGTATGTAAATTTTTTCATTACATGACTCTTTGCTTGCGAGTACTTAATCACAGCCACATTTGTTGGATGAAAAAGCAAATGAAAAACTGCACAAGCTATTTCTATGCAATATTACTTTTCAAGTGAGTAAAAGCCATTCAACAGCGTATGGTATTAACAGTCCATAGTGACATTGAATTTAATATCACTCAATATTGGAATGATGTTAACTAATATTTGCATGATGTTAACACTGAGAGTCTAACACATACAAAAAGCCTAAATATAACATGGTTCAGTTTACACTTGGGAATGAAAATATTATGTACACACATGTGTTTATTTCTAAGCAAAGAAGAATATGATAAAATTGATATTCTGTCCAATACAACCTACCTAAAGCATATCAAGTAATTTCACTGTCTGATTTAGAACAGACATTTATCTTAGAGATCTGGACAAGTTTAACATTGAACACATCCATTTTCCATTTCATAATAGTTGGGATATTTTATAAATTGATTTTCTTTGAAAAAAAACTAAAGAAAAGCAAATTAATAAATAAAACTCAAGATTTAAAGAAATATTTTTATCATTAATTTTGAAAACATAGAAGCTAAATCCAAAGTAAAAATGAGATGAATTATCAAATTTATGTGTTAGTTTACTTTAAAAATCTGCAGCAAACACATCTTTGGAGTATTAAATAAATACCAAAGTTAAGAGATAATGTTTACCTGTTTATTAATCCCAGTTTAGCTGAAACATCCACTTCATTTTTAAACAAAGAGCTGTTGCTCTTCTTTACATCCCATTCTTTCCTCTGATTCCCAGAAAAGCAATTTGTTGGGTTCAGAAATGAAATGTGTTCCAGTGTTTTCTGTCATCTGGGAGTTACGCATTGCCATTACGTACAAAGATTGCCGTCTAGTTCTTTTGTTCCAGAGTTGCTCAGAATGGGCCTCATAACTCTACACAGAGAGTTTTAAAGGTGATGTCACAGGCCCATACTCCTTGGAGGCAGTGGGGTGAGGTAGATCCGATCTCACTGTCCTCCCAAGTATTTGTCCTAAGCTTTCCACGAGTGATAACCTCCCAAGCCTCCTGGAGAGGTTGTTTAGCTCCCTCATTCCCACTCTTACTGAACAGACGAGACAGGCCCTCCTTTCCATCCCTGCTCTGTGCCGTGCTGAGTATTGATTTCTAGGGGCGTCTCCTATGAGAATGAGGTAGGTGTCCCAAGAACATCCTATATAGATCAATCCTCCAACTCAAACTCAAACTCAAGAATAAAAAATTGTATCCATAAATTTACCATATAACACAGTTTTTAAAAGAGTCGTCTAGATTGTTGTGGCTTGACTGAGCCACTATCATCTCCAGTATATTCATACATTGACACTTTCTATGAAAAAAACCAATGCACAAACTTATCTGAAGCTGGTGTTTCTACTTGGGATAAGTTATCATCGGAATTCATTCTTTTTTTTTAACTGGAAAGATGTATTAAATTCCTTTTGAAATGTACAGCAGTAGTGGTAATTAAAGAAATCCTGCACCAAGAAATGTAATAAACTATTTTCTGCCACTGTTTGCCTAATAACTGCCCTCCTCAGATAAATCGAAGAGAACTTTTATAGTTCCATCATCAATGATACACAAGGTATGAATATCATTCTATTATCAGCTGACACACTTTCGTCTGAAGATTTATATATAAAAACATTCTGCATCAAAATAATTTCATTTTAAATGTGTAACACTGTAGCTTTTTCAGAAGCATTGTGAAAATTTGATAGTATAAACACGATTCTTCACTATAGCTGGCCAATGACTCTTTTGCAAAGTATCATTACCACTTCCATTATAGTTATCAATAGCTTTCAGTACTGCAATATCCAAGACTCTCCTTTGTGCCAGAGATATGCACTTACGGATGGAGATTCAAGGCTGCCTTTCTCTTTGCCCTATGAAAGGGAACTTATTGTGGAAAAGAGAAAAGGCTCCTGACTTTCATAGAGCACCTTAATTCAAACTCTATTATAACGTATTCAAGTATATTGTGAAAAAACTACCATAGTCCTAGGAGATGGGCAAAGAGAAACAAATACTACAATCCAGAAAGCCAAGCTCAGAGATTGGTTGTAAGCAGCAATACATCTCAAACTTCAATCCAAACTGAATGGACTTCAAAAACTGTTTTCCAATGGTGTGCAGCTTTGGCAATTAATATTAAATTCTTGCTAACTTTAAGAGACATGAGAATCTCACTTTATAGCACTTATTTGAAACTCTTTTTTACTTTTTTGCTGAATTTTGTGGCTTCCCTCCTGAATCATGTCCAAATTTTGTATTTTTATTTAAAACTGATTCACAATTAGAAACAACTGTAAGAAAATTATTTTGCACAAAATTTTACAGAAAGCAGGATTTCAGCAAATTAATTCATTCAATCTGGGCTTTCTAATTCAAGATACATTGTATAAATCTGGTTGATTTAATGTAGTCAACCACTCATTTAATTCACATGATTTTCTCCACATAGAAACCTATTGCCTTAAGCGTCATGGAAAAATCATGTGAAAAAGCTAGGTACAATGTTCATGGTCTTAATGAAGTAGGAATACACGGAAATTGACTATCCTGTTTCATCTTCTTGGGACACTCTGACAAACTTACATTAAAAAGTCTCTAAGACACCTTTTCCTCACCTATAACTTTCTGTTTCACCCTATTCATGTCAACATTTCTACTTCTGAATAAACATTAAGCTTCATTCATCTTTCAGGGTCTTAGAATAGCTGACCCTCTCTATGTAGAATTGTGTTTCTCTAGATTTTTACATGATGAATGTAAAACTTCAAGATGCTGTCCAAATAGAAATGTCTCAGAAATGATTGCTATAATTGCCACAAGCAAAATAGCACTGTACATTTCACTATATTTTGGCTTATAACGCACTTCTAACATTGAAACATTAGCTCCATGAGTACAGAAATTTCAGCTGTCCCAATCACTGGAATTCAACAAATGTTTATGACATAGCCAATGAAATGGGATAAATCTCAAACCATGCTTGAAATAATGTGAAGAAAATAATTGCCATTATTCATTATTTCCATGCTAAATTTGAGATCGGTCCAAAGGTCTGCCCTAATTTTTTTAAGAAACTGAACTGCAGAGTTGAACTACATGGCATCCCGCATAAAATCTGTCCCGAGTTCTATGATAACATGCAGACAATCACTTTCAGTCTTAAGTGAAAATCAGGGCTCTGCAGTGTGAGTAATCATTAGTTTGCATATATCAGTGGCTTAAAAGGAGCAGACACTACGACACCACTCTCATGAGACTGATTGTGCAGCATGGACTTGCTGTTATTAACACACCCAATTGCTTATTAAAATACTCAGTTCACCAAAACGTTCCAATTTTATCTTCCACAAATCACTCATTTACCATGTACCACAAAACAGAAAATCATTTGATTCCATGTCTTAACTTCCAAAGAACCAAGTCCCAGTTACAATATTCATATCTAATAATCCGTATGTTGGCCTATTCACTCTGATCAAGATTTTAAACATTTCAGCTTGTATTCTACCTTCCCTTTTACCCTCACCTTGGTGTTGATCATATTTGATAGAAAAAAAAAATAAAGAACAGAAAGAATATTGGAAGAACTGGAGGGAAGGGAGGGAAAGGGAGATGAGGGGATGGAAGCAGAGAGGAAGTGAAGGAAAGAAGGCAAGGAAATACTATGTTTCCAGATGACTCTCAGCAGTTCTAGGTGAGAAGGACCCAGCCTACAGTGGAGCAGTCGCCCCAAGCTTGCGATAGGACCCCCAGCACAGGATCCCCCACCAAGCACCTGTTAGCTGAACCTCCCCTGCAGATGCCAGTTCAGTGCATTTGAGGTAAGAGAGCGTTCAAGCTTTTTAACAGCACTAAAATCAGTGATTATGAACTCATGTCGGTATCTGAACTGCTGGGAAGGCTGGTAAAATACAAATTATCCCATCCCACAATTTCTAATTAGGTCCAGGAAGGTCCAACTATTTGTGTTTTTAAAAACCTCCTGATAGTATGCTGATATTACTAAGAAGGAAAAAAAAAACTTTTTAGAACCATTTTACTGGTAGAGCTTATAACAAATGACATGGAAAAACATCTGCCACATCTTGTCCTCAAGTTATTGTTGGATTGAGATATTATTTACTCTCTAACAGTGTAATCACCCTGATGAAGATGTCACCCAGTGATTTTCCGTGAGCCCAAAATGAGATTCCAACACATCTTTTTGACCTTCATGTAGAAGGAAATAAAGAAGATACTCAATCTTCAGCTTTTTCTTTATTGAAGTAAGAACATTAGTTTAAGCCGTAGATGCAGACACTGACGTGACGATTGCACACCGTAAAACCACAGCAAGTGAGGCTAGAGAAGGCTTTCAAGAGAACATAGAAGGCTTCCGAAGTCTGTCTTCGTGCGTAACATCTCTGCTATGTCACCACGTTACACCTAGTGCAATGAGCAAGAGCTAATGTGTTAGAAGCTGATTCAGGCACGCCTAGTGTTTAGAGATCCAAATTGGGCCATCGGGGCTTTCAGAATGGTGCTTCGCTGCTTGAGCCAGCCACTATAAACTCAGGCCAGTTGGTTGTATCACTACTTTCCATGAGGAATTTAAGGGGTGTGACTGCATCCTCTCCAATCCTGCATTCCACATGCGACAAAACCGATCCAGCTGTTTGTCTGAACGAAATTCCTTGCTGTCCTTAAAAATTAAAAAGCAAGTGGATATCCGTCCTCCAGGGGCGAGTCTCCAGCTGGAAGCTGGTACGGGCAGTTGCGAAACAGACACAGTGCCCTGGGGAGCATCTGCTTTTGAATTCTTACCTCGCCATAAGGGGGTTAGCCCCATCTTGCTTTTTGAAATGGCAGATTCTGGATGGAGGGTGCTGGCTTGGCCCAAAGCTCTTGAGAAGTGTTCATCCACTACTGACCCAATGTCTCCCTGGAAATAAGTGAAAAGGACACAGCGAGAGTTAAGGTACTCCATCTCGGCAGGCTGGTCTTTCTCCTCCTCCTCCTCATCCTCCTCCTCCTCCTCCTCCTCCTCTTGTTTGCTGGGAAGGTTGACCTCCAGAGAGTCCTGCATCTTGCTGTATACCGCTAACTTTTTCTGGGATGGAATAAACAAAACACAGGATCAAAGACAGTTTGTAAAAAAAGCATTAACCATTTAACTTTTCATTTAAAAAAAAAAATAGAATCTAAATATTAACATATGTTTGCAAACTGATTCTTTTTCATCTGCTTTAGCCCATCTTTTCCCTCCCCAAACCAGTTGCCTCCTTCCCACACAGTAAAAAGGAGAAAATCTGTTTTGGAATTTTAGAAAACATAAAACGTCCACTATCAACTGGTATGTTTTCAAAGTGTGTAAGACACAATTCTGGTTTTGTCTTTTTGAGTTTTCTTTTTTTAATCCAGCTCAACCGAAATAAAAGAAATCATGACAAATTCTATCCAATTTATATTCTCATTTTCAATCTACTTTTAAAAATTTGATGCATAGCAACAATTACATTTTAGGACAGGAAAGAAAAGGGGATAGGAGATGTAACTGTCTGGGGGCAGGGTGGAGAAGAAAAAGATGTTTTCATAAATGAAATAAACTAAAATAAAAACAGGAATGCAGCATATTATAAAAGGATTTGGCAGATGTGCTGAACTCATTTCTCAAAAATCAAACTAAAATGACAAAATAAGTCTGTGTGAAGATCCATTTTGCATGGAACATATTTTTCAGATGTTCCACTTACCCCCATTATCATAGAAGGAACAAAAGATTTTATTATAACTTACTGAAAGTAATACAAGATACCAGCAGTGATTAACTTTTTGAGAAAAATGAGAAAACAATGATTATGTATCCATAAAAATAATGGTGAATATATATTATTGAGTCTTCTAAAAATTATTATCTGTTACTTCATTTAATCCTTGTAATTCCATAACTTGGGTGTCATTTTAAAGACAAAGACACTAAACTGAGAGAAATTAAATGACTTGTTCAAGTCATAAACCCAGGACGCTCAACAAGGACATGTATGTTTAGATAATATGTGCACGCATGTATTGGGAGAGAGCTGGGCAGGTACCAAGTGTGAAAAACTCATCAAACTCTTGTATCCAGTCTTTCCCTGATACATTTTCAATTAAAAATTTTCTTTCATTCCTACTTCTCAATATTTCCAAGCAATTTTGACTCAGACCATTTTGTTTGTATTAGCAACAACTGTAGTGTGAGTTATACATAATAAGATGTTGCTAAAGTTTATAAAACCAGTTTAGTGACCAGATCCACTCTCCAGATCGTATCTTAATCTGCAAAATTGGATCATTTATCATGTTATTTCTTCTCATTTCAGTAAAAAGTGCTAAAATGAGTGCAAAGAAAGTATTATTCTTAAATAGTCCATTTTTTTCAAATGTCATCGAAACATATAATCTAGACAGTGTTTTTAATGTAATTACCACCTTTAAAATCTACACTTCCAGATTATATGTGCATCATTCAGTAAGTTGAGCTTTGTCCTTTAGCAATAGAAATGTGATTTTTGTCTAAAGAGAATCTTGAAATGTTCAGAAAAATTATAAGTTGCTGCTTATTATTTAGGAGAAGTTTATAAATATATGTACTGGTTTTAACTAAACATTATATATCTTTAAAATAATAGATAATACTTTTCTTGTGGCTGAGTCTGCCATGCTGGTCAACAGATGACTCTAATTTCTGAGGGATTATGTTTCTTACAATCTACTTCTGCACATATTTAGACATGTTTGTTTAAATTTAATCTCAATAGTGAAAAGTTCGTAAGTGCAAAATGAGGAGATTATGCCAAATGTCCTCCAAAGTTACACTTAGTTTCAAATATTGTCATAAACTGACATTATCACAGTGCTGTTTTGTTTCTGATCATGCCTATCACTGTTTTAAGAATACACATGTACTCTACGCTATATATCTCCACACATTAAGAAGAAGCATTGCTTTTATGAAAAGGAAATAAAACTCTTCTGCAGAGAAGTTTCACAGTCCAGAGTCTGGAGAATCTGAGAAACTGAATTCTTTCTGTTAATGTGCAACTCAGCATCAGTTCATGAGAGTCAGGCTTTGCATGTAATTGCTTCATTTGCTTAAATTAAACATTTGTTCTTGAAATGAGAGAGCCTTGGAGATAATAACTATTCAGATAAAGGCAAGGTTTTCTTTTACTCTCATTTAACACCAATTAATTCTCAGATTAAATAAAATCACTTAAAGATATGTACAAATTCGAAAACTATAATTCCTTAGAAACATGTGAAATAGCATTATGGGTAATAACAACCATCACAGAATACCTTAATTTTTAAACTGACGGTAGCTAAGTTTAAGTTACTGCTTGTTAATATCTATATATGATTATACACTTTCCAAATGCCATTCAGTTGATAAATTCTTTCCTTCCAATTGTGAAATAGTTGAAGACAAATAAATTATAAAATTACACACTTTCCAATAATCAATGATATAAAAGGAAAGCAGCATCTGCCTTTGTGTCAAAATTTCTTTATTCTTTAAAAATCGATTTCTGTCAATGCATACATTCTTCGTATTTATTACACTTAATCAATATATAATATATCTCTGTATAAATTTAGATAAATATGTACACTGAAATATTGGCTTTGGCTTTTGCAAACACCTGGGCATTTGCAAAACTAGGAATCAGTGCTGCACCTCCCTGTAGGCAATGCAGCAGGAGATTTCGTGGTCCTATTGGCCCTTTTTTCACATGAAGTTAATTCCTTCAGATTGTAGTGAATCTATAATGTAAATATTTGCATTTACAGCCTCACATGCATGTACAGCCTCACAACCAGTCTCACTGGTTAAAATTAAAATGTTCAAAGCATCCAAACAACTCGAAAACTAGCCAAAATGCTAAGCCTGAAACTGAATACAGTTTGTTTTAAATGTATGAAGAAAAAGAGAAGAAAAAATTGAAATAGCAATTGATTCATAGAACTTTCCTAAAGTGACAACCCTTCTTAGAAAGAGTATACAAAATTCTAAATATTGTACCTCTGAAACATCATGAATAATAATAATCTAAAAAAAAATAAAATACAAAAATAATTAGATTTCAAATAATCAGAACCTAAATTCCCTCAGTCAAGGTAAATCTTGCTTATATTTTTCTCAAAATGTACAAACATTTCTTAAAAATAACGCATGTAGAAATCTCTGGGATTTTTTTTTTCTGAATTACTTGAAGAAAATAAAGAAATACCCAAAAGGGACTTCATAGATTACAAGTGGGTCCATTTAATACACATTTAGCTCTCATGGACAATGCTTAGCGATGATGGCTTTCCCCTAAGGAAAGGACTGCGGAGTTAGGTGAGACAAGGAACAGGTTAAGAGCATCAAGTTAAAGCACACACAGAGGGAGCTGAAAGGAGAAGAGTGAAAAGAGTAGGCCCTGGCAATGTGAAACATACCCAACCACCTCACAGCCTGCCATTAGGCACAAGAGAAACAAACTTAAGCAGGAATGTGCAAGGGAAAGGATTTGTCTGACAAGAGAAAGACTTCCATGTCAGGAGCCAAATACCACTAACTCCCCAAGGCTTAAGCCTACAAAATGCCAAGTGATTACTGTGCATATGTGGAAACTTTTTTCCTAAGGAAACAAAAGTATTTTAATGAATCATTGGGTATTTAGAAACAGCTTTTTTTTTTTATTTCACTAGCTATTTTCTTTATATACAATGATTCTTTTATATTAAAACATACTTGGAACCTTGAAGAGTAAGTGATCAGGTTAAAGACTTCAAAATCTGAAAGTCCCTACAAGCCAGCACGTTGCACTTTGGATCATGTTTTCTCATTTGCGTAATATATTTCTTTAAAAATTACTTGGAAAGATTTAAAGCATTGTTCTTAGCGTATCGGGAGAACATACAAACTGAGTTATAGAATGTTGAACGAGGTTGAGTAATATGTACTATTGAGCTTCATACATTTTATGTATCTTTACTTTCATGGAGAAATATTTTGTCAGATTAATTATTCTGAATTTACATGTGTAAGCACCAACTTATTTGGCCAGAGTCATCCAAATGGAAAGTGACAGAGGTGGGATTAGCATAGACTTCTGTCTGACCACAGAGTCAATCAAGTAGCTTAGGGACTGGCACTGGGGAGCAGCATGTTAAACTGCCACTTGCAGTGCAAACATTCCACATGGGGACCAGTTCAAATCATAGCCATTCCACTTTCCAATCAACTCCCTGCTAAGGCTCCTGGGAAAGTAGCAGAAAGTAGCACTTGCACCCATGAGGGAAACCAAATATTGCTACTATCTTCTGGCCTCCACCTGGCCCAGCACTGGCCATTGCAGCCACTTGGAGCATAACCAGTAGATGGAAAATATATTCTCTCCCTTTCAAATAAGTAAATAAAATCATTAAGAAAAAAGTAGACTAAAGAAAAATGGGGTTTATTTTAAGGATATAAACAAACAAAAACCCATAACATTGTATTCTAACGTGGTGTAAAGTTCTTTGTCATAAAAAAACGAGAATCACAAACATATATTTGAGCTTTAGTTCTTAAGCAATGCAGTGCTCTTAAAAACTAAAAATCAGGGCATCAAAATAAAAATGAACTTCTCTACCTAAGTGTGCTGTCCCCTTGGCAAATCAAATATCTAATACAACTGCCAGCACTTTTTCTGGAACTGCTATTTTAGAAACGAGAGCAGAGTTAACTTGCAAGACACAGTCACACCTCAAGAATCTGTGTTTGTCTGTCTTTTTTTTTTTTTAGATTTTTCATAACAGTAGAGAAGAGCAAATAAAAATATGACAAAACACGATGAGCTAATTTTGAGTCCACTGTGACTAACTGACTTTAGTCATTATCAGAAATTAAACCTGTCCCCACCAAAGATGAACACTTTTCAGTTTTGAGCATGTTCAAAAAAAAAAAAATGTGCCACGGGCTTACAGGCAATTTCAGAATTTGCATTCCCAAGATGTTTTGAGCAATGATCACATCATTAGGGTATGTGTTTTCTCTCAAACCAACTACTTTCAATGAAACAAGTTTCCGATGCATACTTT